ACCACCAGGCCGCATGCTTCCCTAGGGTGGGGTCACGCTCATCCTTCAGGACCCTGGCACTAAGTGGGTGCTCAGTAACCACTGGGAGAGATGGGTACACCAGAGGGTTAAAGCGAAACCTAGAGCATTTTTGCCATTTTAGTTTAGTATGGAGCGACCCAGCAGGCCAACCAGGTATACCCTAACTGCTTTATTCCCCTTTTTTCTTCACACCCATCCCGTTCCTGTTCTTACAGATGTATAGACCTTGAAACTTGTCTCCCTGGGGCATTTACACCCTGGAGAAAGAAGGTACTCGGCAGAACAGAACTAGGGTCGGAGGAGGGAAAACAGCTCCATGCGCTCGGTGGCCAACTCATTTACCTCTAAAAGCGCATGTTCATTCCTGCCATCGCCGGAGCTTACTGCTCGTGAAATGCATGACCTTGAGTCAATGTGACCTGAAGGCATAGCTGATGGCTCATGTTTGAGGGAATCAGAGTTCTGTCCACCACAGGTTGGGCGGACATGTGGACATTTGCGCAGACAAGGCCGGCGGCCACCCACCGGGGCCCTGGGTCATGCACACGTGCGGAGGTGGTGTGTGGCTCCGTTCGTGGGACTGTGGGCCATGGCAGCTGTATCTGGCCTCCAAAGAGGAGGCTGTGCAAGGGCCGGCGGGGCCTCGCCCAGGCTGTGGCCTGACTGTGCCCTGATCCCTGCCCTCCGTGCAGGCTCTGCTTTCCGTGGGTGAGACTCTGCCAGCCGGCTTCGTGTTCACCTTGGCTCCCAGGAGCATGACCACAACCTCTGGGCTGCAGATTCCCTCCCATGCTTCTGAAGGACTTCGCCCCTTTCCTCTGACTTCCCACAACAGAAGCTCATGCACTCACAGAAGCTGCTCCTAGGCCACCCCCTCTCCCAGGGCTTTCTCTCACTCTTATCTTTCCTCCCTGACATCCTCGCTGCCTGCAAAGCTCGCTGGAGGAGCCTGGCAGCTGTCTGCTGGCTTGTGTATTTGAAATGGCACTCTCAGACAAGTCTGGGCAGCAGGAGAAACCGGACACAGAAACTATCCTCCGTCTTTGCTTTCAGCCCCACCCGAGTTCCCAAATGCCACCGGTCTGTGCGGCGGCTGGGCAGGTTTTGCTCCACCCACCTGTGAAGCAGTCAAGCCTGGAGGAGAAGGAATCAGCTCCAAGGCTGGACGGTCTGAGTTTAATTCCCGTTCGGCCTCATACTGTGAAATGTGTGACTCCAGGCAGGTTTCTGGGCCCCTCTGTGCTCCCGTTCTTTCTGTGAAAGGAGTCACAATAATAGCACAGAGTTTGAGCCCCTTTTCTGACTTTCCCAAATCCAGAGAGCACTTGAAAAACAATCTATTTTTGGTGAGTTTGGTGCCCAAACTCACTTGGCAGCAAACTCATATCTGAACTGATGAGATCTGTGGCTTTGTGCTACTCAGTATGAGTACTCATACGTCCTGATTTGGAATTTCTGGTGTGTTGTCCACAGGTTGTGGCTCACACCCACTGGAGAGCATATGTTAATAAGAGTGCAGAAGCCACGTTATGAAATTCCCCAAATCCTAGATTCTGAAACATGATCTGTTACCTGGTTGCAAACACTCGGTAAATGTTGGCTGTTGCCTGTATTAAATTCCAGCTGGATTCTGGCTGCCGCTGTTGGTGTAGACGGCACTGGGCCACTGAGAAGCGGTTTCTAAACCTACCAGGCTGGTTTCATCTGCTCGATCCATCTGCACAAGATTCCAGCCACTGCCTTTTATATTTATTTTAAAGCAAGCCCCTCTTTTAACCATGATGTTGTCACACGAACCAGCAGCCCTTCCAAAAATGGGCTATTGCTGCTATGATTCAAAAAATAAGGCTTATGTTGAATAATTCAGGGAATACTTACATGTTCTTATGAGTGGTCCCAACCTTACCCAATGGCAGAAGTCATTGAAGAAACAGCTGATGCCTGCAGACAGTTGGGTGACTGTGTGGCCATGGTGACATGGAGAGTTGTTAGTGGTGGCATTTGGGTAGAGCTTAAAGCATGACCACCAAATGGTGCTGTGTATAAGAAAAGTCAGACAGATGCATCTGTGTCACTTTCCTACCTGTTAGATCTTGAAGTGCATTGCTCACAACCTGCAGCTGTCAATACAATGAATCTATTTTACAGTCAAATAACTTTTGAAAAATAAGGCAGGCACAGCGGGCCATCTTAGACCCATGGTTTTCAAAGTATGGCTCTGTGGAGCCCCCTGGGGTGACTGCTAGAAAACACAATTGCTGTGGACTGGATGTCTGTGCCTCACGAAATCTGTATGTTGAAGCAATGCCCAGGGTGCTGGTGTTAGGAGGTGGGGCCTTTGGGAGGAGCTTAGGCCATAAGGTGGAGCCCCCATGAATGGTAAAAGGGGTGCTGGAGCCTGAATCTTGGTCTTGCAGTCCTGAGCTGTGACAAACCAATGTCTGTTGTCTGTAAGACCCCCATCTGCGGTATTTTGGTATAGTGGCCCAGATGTCCTAAGACACCATTCCTGGACTCCCACCCCTAGCCTACCCAATCAGAATCTTCCGGCAAAGTTTGGGAACCAGAGCCACAGTCTGAGCCTTAATTAACTCCAGGGTTCCAGGCGGGAAAGCCAGAGAAAAACCAAAGACTTGAACGACCCCACATATGTCAGTCGACATCTGTCATCAAGACATGGTTGTATTTTAAGCATCTGGAGAAGCAGCTTTGGGGTTGATTTAACATACTAAGCCTGAAATTCAGAGTTTTGGTGTGACTGACTCCAGCTTCTTTCAGAAGAAGGAGTATGCATCACTCCGAAAGTCGTCGGAACGTGACACCATCACTTTTGGAGCCATCCCAGGTGAAGCTGGCCAGGTCCCGTGTTCCGGCACCAGGCATTTGCTTCGTGTTGAGGGCTTGCTCTGCCCTATGGCTTTAAGATGACACCGTTTTGCAGAGATCCTAACACGGGTTTGAATTCTCATTCTGTAAAAATGCCGCCTTTATCACCCAGGCTCTCCCAGATGCCAACAGCAGAGTCTGCACCAGCCGGCACTCTCACAGCCACATGTGTGTGCTTAGCATGCTCAGTGGCCAGGCAGCTGGGTTAGCCCTGAAGGAAATCGTCTCAAAGCCACAGCGTGTAATTTATGATTCAACAGGGAGATTATACATTCTTTCCTGATGCCTTTTGTCTTATTTTAAATGTTTCTTTGTTTTGAAGTTTGTATTTAGTCATCCTTCCCTCCTTTTCCCAGCCAGGAGGTGATGCCTTCCCTTCTGTTTTCCTCGAGCCACAGACCCAGGGATTTCTTACAGCAATGGCCAAGGTGCTTCACCCCTCACCCAAATCTCTCCTGCTTTCCTTAGGCCTGTGGTTTTTGCTGGGCCTCTGTGTAGAGAGAAAAAGGTGCATTTTATCACATCCTGTGCTTAGAAACTCCATCATTCTAGATTTTGCTGTAAAATGGTCAAACTCCCCATAGAAACGATAGGCAGGGAATTGAGTTTCAGCCGAAGTCCCTGCATCAGGTAAATCAAAGATATGACCAGTGCCATAAAATAATATACCATAGCTATAAGCCCCTCAAATAATTTTAATAAGAATGTTGTTCCACCATGAGATGGAAGTAAATATGTTATATTTTTATTACAAAAAGAACACCAATTCACTATAAAATGTGTACATAATACATAAAAATAGAATTCTACTCTATCATAAATATCACTATTTATATTGCTAGCTGTAAAAAGTGTTCAACGTTTAATTAACAGTAATTTTGAGAATATGTGGATGTTGCTGTTAAGCAACCAAGCATGTGTGTTGATCCCAGGCATTGTCCTCTTGCTGGAATTTATGGAGTTTTGGGGATCCTTTGATGGGAATGATAGCTACGCCTGTGCCAGGTCTGCCCTGGGCTCTTTGTATTAACTCATTTAATCCTCTACACACTCTATGGAACATGTACTGTTCTTGTCTCTAATTTAAAGATGAGGAAACTGAGGCACCAGGAGATAAAGAAGTGCTCCCCCCATCATGCACAGGAAGGGTAAGGTGTGAATTTAAGCGCAGGCCTACTGGCTCATGAACCCTGCTCTTGACTTATGTGCAAGCATAATAAATAATGCATGTTCTCTCCTTGCTCTGAATACTTTTTAATGATCAAAATAATGCTAATGAATTCCAATTACAAAGGTCTTTGATATTAAAAACTGGTCAGCAGGACCACTCCATTCCTGTACCCGAGTCTGTGAGCATGAATTAGTGATGAGCACAGCAGAGCTCCAGAGGGAAGCTAAGCAGCAGGAGAAAAGGCTAGAAACTCAGCTTGAGGACAATGAAATCCCCTCCTCTGCCATCATCCACAAGGTCAGGGGCAGGGCCGGGCCCACCAGTCAAGTGCCTGCTGACCCTGAGTCGATAAATGTGGGGTTCAGAAAGGTTAACTAGCTTTCCCAAAGCCACACAGCTAAGTTATGTCTTGGAGAAGGAGGTGAACCCAAATCTGACCCTGAAGCTGGCCCTTTCCCCAACACCAGATGATACCCACAATTCGAAGATGAAAGAGCAAGCACGGTGTCAAGCCGGCGGGGCAGGAGAGCGTTGTACAGTGTACAGGACCTCAGAGTCTGGAGTAGGCCTGAGTTCCTCTGACACTCATAAACAAGGGAAGAACTTGTGAAATACAAGAGTCACTCTTAAGACAAGAAATGGCAAGACTTGGTGATTGGAGGATGAAAGGTGAGGGAAGCGGAAATGACACCCAGTCTTTGTCCATGATGTTCATCCCAGCATGTGGTGTGTGTGTGTGTGTGTGTGTGTGTTATTTCCTACTCAATCCCAGTGTTTGCATTAACTCCCAGCCCTCTTAAAGACCGTTTTCTCCTGAGAAAGGAGGTGAACAGAAAAGAGGCCAGGAGCCATACAGAAGCAGGCTCCACATACGTTTGCAGGGACCCCTCACCAATCACCTCTTTCTCCTCCCTCTTTGCAGGAGTTTGTTCAGCTGGCAAAGAGACTCATTAGTGATCCTGCATTAGAAAAAGAGATCGTGGCCAACGGCAGGGAGTATGTGAGAATGTCTCATTCGTGGCAGGTGGAAAGAGACACCTACCGAAACCTCATCAGGAGGCTCGAGGGAAGCATTCGGGACTGAGGGCGCATGCCAGCTGCTCACATGTGCTGCCAGGTGAACATCCAGGGATGGGGCTGTAGCCAGTGGGGCCAGACCAGTACTAATCAAGCTGGTTTCTGAGGCGGGACCTCATCCAGAAGCTCCCTGCGCTTCAGATGCCATCCTGGACCTGTTTCCAAATAGTCCTGCAGCAGAAACTCACTGGCTAACTGGCTGGGGGCAGGGTAACCGGTTTTAAGGGGATTCGGGAGAGAATGGATTTGCTGTCTTAGGACTTCCTGTGGACAGCAGGGGCTCATTGGTAAACCACCACCCATGTTCTAATGTCCAATAACCCATCATTGTTCAAAAAGCAGCAACAAAAATCAAACATGTAGGCTGAGGAGCCCTGGCAGCACTTTTCACATGGAACAAAAGCTCTAACAGCCAAACTGGGCCCTGGCAGATTCGTGGACAGCCGAGGCCCTAAACACAGAGCCAGCGCTATGAATGAGTTCCCATGCGGCCTGTCTTACCCCCCCGTTTATGTGATGGCAGGATAGCGGGTGCTCTCGAGAAAAGCCATCAGTCAGCCCTGCAGGCTCCGCCCACCTCTGTCAGTTTGAGTTGAAAACTGGGTTATACAAGGGGAAAGTACTCAAGTGAACCTGAGATGAGCTGGGTCCTGGGGGTCAGGTAGGCCTGTTCCCTCCCAGGATCGAGGATCCAGGGGTTAGTGTCCAGAAGGTCAACAGTGTCCAGCTCACTGCAGGACTCCCCTGGGGTTGGTGACGTCCCCCACACAGTGAGTTCAGCCCAGTGCAGCCATCCCCGTGGGCCCGGCCGCAGCAGCGCCTCGCCCAGAAGCTGGTGCCCTTTTCCTGTGGGGCAGTATCAGCCTCTGCTGGATCCTTGTATTATCACTGCACTGCAGTGGCTGCCCGTGACAGAAAATGGCAGTGGGCATCCCACTGCATTGTGTGAAGGCAGGAGCACAGGCTTGGAGGAGGAAGGGGACACAGAGCCCTCGCGGGATGTGCTGTCAGAGTGTGTTTAGATCCCACAGGCTCTGGGAGGCCCGACCTCACCCTGCCTCACATTCCAGGACATCGGCACTGTTTGCTTTCCAAACATCATGTTTTTTTTTTAGATGGCCAAGCCTACATCCTTTTTCTAAAAATTAAGCCTCAAATAAACTGGTAGCCTGGAGATGATGTGAGATTCCATGTCATGTTACTTGCCACTCACTGCATTCTGCTGCCCCCACCTCAGAGCAGAGTCACCTGCAGAAAGGTGGTTAATGGGAACTGCAGACACCCCTCCCTGCTTGGAGTTGTGGTTCCGCTAACGGCTCCCCACCTTTTTGAGGGTCCGAGAGGCACTAGGGTCAAGAATCCATTGTCTGGGAGCAGCAAGAAAGGGGAAGGAGAGAGAGCCCATGCCCGGGAAGCAGAGCTGTGGCTGAATCTGGAATTGGCAACGCCACTGTCAGGAAAGACCCCACATCACCTTGTGCCGCCCTCCTGCTGCTGCGGCTTGCAAGATGCTGGTTGTCTGGAAGCTGGACTCTGCTCCTGTGGGATGTCTGTGGATGCTCCAATCCACACCATGAATTTGGCTTTATATGCATACCCACACTTGCCTGAGGCAGGAAGGGGGAGGGCATGGCTAAACAAATAAAGCATGTTGCCCTCAGCTGTGCAAAAGCAGCCTGTCTGTTACACTGCACATGGTGCCCCACCTGGAACAGACCCTGCCCCGCCCGCCCTCCCCTGCAAAATAAGAGGAGGTGCTGGCAACGGGCCTGAATTAATACGGGTTTAAAATGCAGTCGCCACTTTAACACCAAAGTAGAGCTGTAAGTGCATAAGCTTTTCTATAAGCTTCCTGAACGGTTTTGGTTTCATCCTCGGTCAACTTTATATTTAAACATTTTGTGTATAGTTTTCAATGTGCTGGTGCACAGGTGGGAAGGACTCAAAGAGTAAATCTCCAGATTGAATGGAGATGCTGTCACCTGCAAACATGGAGGGAAACTGCACTAAACATAGCACAGCGTGGATAGCAAAGGGACCCTGGTCACACCAGGGTTGGCGCCAGTGTGCCAGCCAGAGCTGCAGCCTCTCCTGGGTACTGCTCTTCACCCGACTGCATGCTCCCAGGGTCCAGCTGACCAGGATGGGGCCCTCTGATCTGGAAGGTGTGTCACCTAACTCCAGGTTTACAAGAGCAGCCCCCTCCTCACACCGGCAGTGGGAACGCGCAGTCAGCCAGGCACCTCAGGGACCCACATACCTGGATGCACTGCTCTGGATCTCAATGTCGACAGTGGCCCTCGCTGGGCTGGTTAAGGATGGGATTTTGAGGATGTTTGAACCCTGAGGAGGTGTTTTAGCTTCAAGTGTTCATGGCACTTCTGTGTTGGCCTTGGTGACGCTCTTTTGCAAAGTAGCACAACATTTGTCCTTCCAGGTGCTTGATATTGAACTCGTCGTTTCTATAACTCATCTTTGCTCCACCTGATACTTGGGGAGCCAGCTCTTCCCAGCATTTCTCCAGTGACACACCTCCTTCCTCCTCTCTCCCTCCCTCCTTCCTTTCTCCTTGCATCTCCGCTTGCCACCCCCTCATTCCCCTTTCTGACTCCGTGTCCTCGTGAAGAGGCAGGGGCTGTCATGGGCTGAAGACTTCCCTGTGCCAAGCCAACCCTTACCAGGAGAGGCACTTACCACACCAGTGGTTCCCAGCCTTGGCTTTAAAAAATCCAGATGCCCCAGCTGCATTCCTGGCCACAGCTACCTGGGAGTCTCGGCAGGGAGACAGCCCAGGCTGAAGCTTCCAGAGATCCAACGTACAGACTGCAGGGATATCTCCTGACTAATAATCTACTTGTAGGGACCGGAATCCACAGAAAACAAAGACCATCTAAGAAAAGGTTGGACTGTGACTTTATATTGAAAAACGAATTCAGAATTAAGAAAATCGCCAACATCCACCTTATGTTGAACATAATTTATTTACACAGGCAGAACTGCATGCTAAGTGCAGGGCTGAGCTTCCTACAGACACATGAACAGCAAATAAAATAATCCACCAGTTTGTCACCCACATTCCCCAGTGGGGTCTCCTTCCTTTGATATCTCACTTCCTTTCCCAGTGTCTGTCCTGCTTTGCCCTCAGTGTTTCTCTTTTCCCCTTAGTTACCTGGTTTCATGCCATGAGTCTCATCCACCTGTGGTTCAAAGGGCTCAGGAAGAGGGACCAACTTTGCCCTGGGATGGAGAGTCAGAGGCCATCCCTTGCAATTGCATTTGGTTACGGCGGACTGGAAATCCCAAATCACAGTGGCGTAAGCAGGAGGGAAATGCATTTTTTTTCTTTTCTTCAAGTAAAAGAATTAACAGAACACACATTGTGTTTACCAGGGTCAGGGACTTAGATCCCGCATCCTATTGTTCCTTCATCCTCAGTACCTGGCCATCTCAACCTCATGATGTTAAGTAGCTGCCCAAGCTCCACTATCATGCCTGAATTCCAGGCTGCAGGAGGACAGAAGGTGGGAACAAAGACATATCTATCTCTTGTCTTTAGGACGACACCCAGTTCCAGTTCCATGCCATGGCCACACCCCATTGCAAGGGAAGTTTAGGAATGCAGGCTTTACTGGGAGCAGCCCTGTGCCCACTTAAAAATCAGGGGTCTGTTATCAAAAACGAATTGCTGAATGCACAGTAGGAGGCAGCTTTCAGCTGCAGTAGCCGTCAGATAACCTGGTTGTAGATTCTGCAGTGGTCACAGGCGTCCTACCTTTTGCTAATCACTGAATACTTTTTAATGCCAAGAATCATGTTTTCCACAAGGTTTTAATTTACCTTTTAAGGCCATTCCAGCACAGCTCACCTTTTCTCCCCAATATCTCATTTGTATACAAGCTCTCAACCACCGCAGCATATCGATTAGTACCTCAAACCTGCAGCTCCTCAGCTACTTACTCAAAGAGTAAGTACATGGGTTTTCCTCTGAATCTCCTAAACTGTTCCTTTGTGTTTGGTGAAACACAATAGCATTAAACAGATTGACGATGTATATAATTTCGGTCATTCTGAATGTTCTCCTGATTGCCCTGCTGGATGAGTCAGCACATACTTACTCACGTTGGAAAGAGTTGTGTAATAGAAGTCTTTTCTGAAGGGATCCATGAGTCAGAGTTTGACAAAAACAAAGCAAGAATTTACATTAAAGACCAGATGTAATGAAGTTCCTTCTTGCATAGTGTTTCTAAAAAGAGCATTCAAAACAGAAGTCTTGCAGGGTCAAAATTACCCACCCACGTAGGGTTTGATTTCTTATGTGGGTCTGTGCATTAAGTCCCATGTGTGGGCAAGTTTTGGAACCACTAAGCTCAATTAGAGAAAGTCAGCCTCTGCATGTCTAGTTACCCAATGGTTCCAATTTTGGATAATAGACAGTTGGATCCCAAGCAGGAAGTGGGGAAGCAGTCTCTGCTTCCAGTGGGGGTTGTTTCACTCGGCTTTATATCCTCTCTACATAACCATTCATCCATGCATTCGGCAAACATTTCCTGGCATAGTGGAGCCAGGCAGTGTTCTTGGGGTAAAGATGGAGCAGCGACCCCCACAAAGCCCTCTCCTCCCTGGAGCTCTTTCTAGAGGGCTTCACTGTGCATGAACACTAGTGGATGCCTGCTGCCAGCATCCGAAGAGAGAGCCGAGTCCACCCAAACAGAGCAGTTAGGGTCAAGGTCAGTGAGAACAGTCTATGGGGCAATTCAGTGCCCACATTTCTCAGAATGAAAACTACAGCCAAGGTGCTCCACCTCATTTCTAAGGGAATCATAGACTCTCAAGGAACATCTGGTAAAAATGAATATTAAAAAAGGTGGCTAGGTGGTCACTTAGAAAGAATGACTTTACCTTTATCTGTGGCCACAATCTATTTTAAAGAGATTGTTTTACAATCTGCTTCATCTTTCAGACTCAAATAGTCCATAAAATCCAGGCTGAGAGAAGAGACTTTCCCAAAACTTACACAGTTTTGCTAAATTACAAAAGCATTTTTCTCCTTAGGGGAAAAGAAATTTTTTTAACATAGGTATGCTTTTCTCATAGAGGCCACTGAAATCCCTGCATACTTTGGGAAGTCTCAACTATTAGAAGAGTCATGCTTCATTAACAATGGATTTTCTTCTATAGCATCTAGTATAAAAATATGCTTAGTATTTCCACAAATCAGAAAGGTTAATAGCCAGACGTTTGCAAGGAACTGGAGAGCAAGGAGCTAGGCAACACTGTGAGATTAGCTTTATGATTTGGCATTTGGTACAAATTCCTCCATTTGAGAAATACTTGGAAAAACCGCTTGCAAAGTCTAAAGATTTGCTACATTTCCATTTGCTAATAAGGCTTCCCTCCCCATACTTTTCTGTGCTGTCTCTCCTGGTGTCTAAATGCATGTAGAGGCTCGGTGGGCAAGTAAGCAACTATATTACATGAGGTGATTGGAAAGGCAGCTGTGTTTATGACGTAGATGGTGTCATTACTCCAAGCCCGTCAGTAATAGCAAACATTAATTGAATACCATGTGTGTCAGGCATAGTGCTCAGCACTGACAAATGTCAGCTCTGTCCCAGCCCTGAATTCCTGGACAGTGGCACTAGTTAACAAATCCCCCGCTTGCCTGTTGTGGAAAATGGCTTGCTCAGTGGATCTCTCCTCCTTGCATGAGTCAGATACCTCACAGGTGCCCACCATGTACCTCTGCCAGGACCACATGGAGGGAGACCCTCAGAATCCCCAGTCCTCTTATCAGCAACTTGCTGACGTGCTTTTCCCCACTGATCAACATAACAAAACAAAATGCTTGTTAACTAAGCTTTGTTCTGCTCCTCTGTACCCTTGTCCATGGCAGCGCACCCCTCAAACAGACTGCCCCCCAGGCAAAGGTTCCCCCACCTGCATCTGAGCCGTCCCTTCCCCACATCTCCCTCTAGCCTTGTTTATTCCTCCCTGCAAAAAAAAACCCACTGAGCCTAAACCTGTGAGATGCCTGCAGACCCCATGGTGAGTGTCCCCCTGCTGCAAGAATCCTTTCCCCTAAACTCTTCCTTACCTGCATCAGGATTCGCTTCCTATTTGCCAGGGCCTTCTCTGCAATATCTCAGCCCTCAGTCCCTGTGCATCTCTGTCTGTGTCAC